AGGACACCCCCCTAAAAGTTGTCTGCCACAGACAGGCCTGAGAGGTAAATTCATTTGTCTGAGTTCACAAGTTACTAGCAACATTGTGAGTCGTTCTGCCCTTAGACTTGGGGAGGAAAGAGGGCCTCTGTCCCTGGCCCTAGTACTCTAGAAGGTCCCACCCTGGCCTCCTACCAGCCGTTCCCCTCGCAGAGTGAGAATTCCATGGGATTAAGGAGATATGTCCATCTGGAGTCCATCCCCCCCACCCCTCTGTCCTGGACTCCCTTGTGGATACTTGGGACCCCTGGAATCTCCTGCCAAACAGTCCCAGGCTTACTTCCCAGGCTTTGGTGAGCTTCTTCCCTGATCTGCCTTTGGAGTGCAAACTTTGCAACAATGTCCACATACCTAGGCCTGAAGGGCAGGTGTTTTAGTCAAGAAGAGTGGCCTGGGTGGCCACACCCAAGTTGCACAGCCTCTTGCCTTGTGGGACAGAGCCAGAGGTGGGAAGAAAGGGGGAGGAGGGGGTGAGGACCAGCTTTCTAGTGCATCTCATTCTGACATAGAACGTCCCAGGAGTGTGAGGATTCCACATTTGAACCCTGTCTTCCAGGTGGTAATGAAGAACGTATATCTGTCAAGGCAGGAGAATACAGTATACTTTATTTTTTTAATTGTTAGTGTGACGTATACCTAAATATGTAGTTGTGATACGGGTTTCCATTTGTACTTTTTTTTTTTTTAATTTTTTTACATTTATTTATTTTTTTTATAGAAATTAAAGCTCAGAGACTTTTTTATTTTTTAAATTTTTTTTTTTAACGTTTATTTTTGAGACAGAGAGAGACAGAGCATGAACGGGGGGGAGGGTCAGAGAGAGAGGGAGACACAGAATCTGAAACAGGCTCCAGGCTCTGAGCGGTCAGCACAGAGCCCGACGCGGGGCTCGAACTCACGGACTGCGAGATCATGACCTGAGCCGAAGTCGGACGCTTAACCGACTGAGCCACCCAGGCGCCCCTTTACATTTATTTTTGAGAAACAGAGTGAGACAAAGCGTGAGCGGGGGAGGGGCAGAGAAAGAAGGAGACACAGAATCTGAAGCAGGCTCCAGGCCCTGAGCAAGCAGTCAGCACAGAGCCTGATGCGGGGCTCGAACCCACGAACTGTGAGATCATGACCTGAGCCGAAGCCGGACGCTCAACCGACTTAGCCACCCAGGTGCCCCTCCGTTTGTACTTTTACAAAACCTGGGCCCTGAAAGTTTAGAGGTAGGCCTGCCTGGGACTAAGACTCAGTTTGTTTTTTCCTTGTTTGTCATAGTGTGACCTAACAAATTAGTGAATTCTTAGCCAAGTAAACTACAAAAATTCCGAATTAAAATCTAGGTAGTTTATGAAAGCTAGTGAGAGTTTATGTCATCATTGTGATGGTGTTCCCAGACTGCGGCTGGCTTTATCGTTTTGTAAGACTTAGGAAGGATCTGGCAGTCTGTATCAGGCAATAAATGTCAGTCAGCTGATTATTTGACTTGACTTTTGAGGTCAAACAGACCCACTGACCAAAAGGTTTGAGGTCAGGACAAATATTTGTATACTAACTTTTACGGTGGGTTTAAACCCCAAAGGAGTATTTATGGGGGAAGCAGAAAGCCACCTTAAAAACTGTTTCAGGGGTGCCTGGGTGGCTCAGTCCGTGAGCCTTTGACTTCGTCTCTGACTTTGGATCAGGTCATGATCTCGCGATTCATGAGTTAGAGCCCTGCATCAGGCTCTCTGCTGTCAGCACAGATGCCTTGGATCCTCCCCTCGCCCCCCACCTTGTACATGCTCTCTCTAGCTCTCTCTAGCTCTCTCTCTCAAAAATAAACATTAAAAAAACATTTTTAAAAACCTGACTGTTTCATCTTCACTAGCTATTTGAACTTTCATCTGTCAATTCCATTTTGGTCCTTAGCAGACCGTGCAACTGCCTGGGAGCAGTTAGATCTTGGTTCACTTAGCCTTCTAAATTATGCTGTGTCTCTTTTCTGTTTTAAATATCTGAGGTGTGGTGTGTATATGTAGTGAGAAAAGGAAGGAGAAAAAGAGACCTATATCTCTGGAAGTTTGAAATTACTTGTAATGCACATACCATCTCAAACTTTATAATAGTAGTTAGTACTGAGAACCATTTTTTTCTGAACGATTTGAGAATAAGGAAGGGGTCCATCCATCACTCTGAAATACTTCAGTTTGCATTTTCTCAAACAAGGCATTCTCCATAGAGAAATCAAACCAAACTTCAAAATCAGAAAATTCAAATGAATACATCACTGCCATCTACCGCAGACCCATTTCAGCTGTTACCAGTTGTTCCAATAATGCCCTTAATGACAGAAGGATCCAGTTCAGGATCATGCATTTATCTGGATTTTCATGATGCTTTTGAAGATTACAAGGCAGTTATTTTGTAAAAATTTAAAATGTGCCTTAGTTTGGCTTTGTCTGATGTTCTCTCATGATTAGATCCTAGCTGCACACCTTGGGCAGACACACCAGAGTGTGGGTGCCTCTCATCCCATCCTGTGGTCTGGTGCTGGCTTCCACGTGCTCCTTTACTGGCAGTGTTAACTTTGATTTCAGAGTAGGATTATTCAAGGTCGATTTCTCCTTTGAAAACAATTCCTCTCTGCCCTGTGCAATAATATGTAATTTTCAGAGAGGTATTTTGAAAACGCGTAAGTACCGTATTCTTCATCAAACTTTGTTAATTGCTTTTATTTTATTTTTGTTTCATGCTAGTCAATTTAGGGGTTCCATTTTTATTCCTCAGATTTTATGTATTTCTCATATGCTTCTTCACTCGCTAATTCATGCAGTTCTGAAGGATTCTCGAATATTATCTTGATCAGCCAACCATCCTCATAAGAAGGTTTGTTGACAAGTCCTGGGTTTTCTGCAAGAGCTTCATTAATTTCAGTTACTTCTGATAGAGGGGAGTAGACATCACTAGCAGCTTTCACATTTTCCAAAGCACCAAACTCATCTTATGTGTTCGATTTTGTCCCAGCTTCAGTTAGACTACAGTTCTGTGCAAAATTGCTGATTCCCACTGTTCAAATACCGTTTTCTCTTGTTTTCAAATACCATTCGTGTTTGTCTGAGTTTACGCAGGGAGAGTGGAGCAGAGCCCATGCCCACCCTCAGCCCCCAGGGTCACGGCAGGCAGGGTGTGGAGGGCACCGAGGGTGCGAAAGCGGAAGGCCGTGTGCTCTGTGCCGCTCATAGTGCCACGTTCGCAGGGGTGTGGGGGTCACAGTAATAGTTAATTTTAGATTTATAACTAATGAATTCTAGTTTATTTAAGTTTATTTATGTTGGCTCCTGTTTCCTCTCTATACCTCCCCGTCATTCTTTGCGCGCTTACTTATTCTAGGCACAGTAGTACATGGACTCTGCCCCAGCTTCAAAATCAGCCATGTTTCCAAAGAGAACTATTTCTCTGGTGGGGGTTAGAAACCATCTGGCTGTTACGTGTTCTCACTGCTGTCAGGGCATCGTCGCTTTGATACCTTGTCCATGGACATAGCTCTGTCAAACTTTGGTTTGTGAGCATGATTAATTCCAGAAACATGGTTGTAATCCAAAGCACTTGTATATCAAAGCAAATTCAAAGAACCATTGGCTCAGCTGTGATCATGTGACTTTCAATGGCACAGACTACTCGTGTTGCAAGACATCACTCGTTTATCAAGTTAAAATTTATTAGAAATGTTTGCTTGTCTTGTGGAACATTCGCAGAACAGCTTATTTGCAATCCAAAGTTTTACTATATTTGCGTGTGTACACAGACACGCTTGCATCTACGTTTACTTTCTTGTCTATATATATATATTGAAAATGAGTTCACACCAGTAGCCCACCACAGGCTTTACTCTCGTTTTTTCCCTTTCCACAATTAGGACTGTCTTCTCTGACAGTGAGAACCCTGGGTTTCCCGTATATTCACTTGTTGCAGAAGTCCTTGGGGGGAGTCAGTCTCCCAGTGCCGCCCCTCCTCCGTTGCTCTGCTCTATCCCTATCAGGCCACTCAGCCCCTCCACTCACACTCTGTTCCCTACCCTTCCTTAGTCCCAGCCTTTGGCTTTTGGACTGAATGATTTAGGAAAGTAAAAGGAAAACCACTTTCTTACTCATATTTAATTGTTTATATGTATTTTAAAATATAACTCTGTGATGGCAGTTTTCAAGATCATTTCATTTAGCATAATAGGTTTCAGCCATGCTTCCTTCTACCACAGGGCTTTTGCAAATGCCTTTCCATTCCCACAGCCTGACGCTTTCGTTCCATAACCCTTATTTGTTTTTCTGCTTTGTATTTTGCTTGTATTTATTGGTATCGTTATCATCGAATCATTTTTCTACTGAGACCTATTTAATTTTTCTTTTGACTGTTAGAATGTTTTCTTGAATATTTTTAGGCACACACACTTGCTTACTCATGCAGGTATGTCTGAGGTGTGAACACAGAATTCAGGAGAGCCAGAGTGGAACTGGGTCTTTTAGCTTTGCTCTGACCTCTTTCAGTGCAGGGAGTATGTGTCACTCATTGCTGTGTCCCCAGTGCCCAGAGGAGCCACACAGTAAGTGCTTAATAAATGTTTATTGGATTTGAGTGGTCCTCAGCTTCCTTTAACAAACAGTAAACCTTGAATAATCACATTTCTCCTACAAGGTGAAGAGCTACTGCCTTGTAATTTAAAGCCGACATTTTGGGGCGCCTGGGTGGCGCAGTCGGTTAAGCGTCCGACTTCAGCCAGGTCACGATCTCGCGGTCCGTGAGTTCGAGCCCTGCGTCGGGCTCTGGGCTGATGGCTCAGAGCCTGGAGCCTGTTTCCGATTCTGTGTCTCCCTCTCTCTCTGCCCCTCCCCCGTTCATGCTCTCTCTCTGTCCCAAAAATAAATAAACGTTGAAAAGAAAAAAAATGTTAAAGCCGACATTTTTTCTTCCTAACCAGTTCTGCCTTTTTTCAACAGAAAGTGGTCTTCTGCTCCGTGAAGGAAGCGCTGGAGGTGGACTGGAGCAGTGAGAAAGCGAAGGCCGCTCTGAAGCGCACAGCTTCGGATTACTTTCTCCTTCAAGGTGAGGGCTTAGAGCAGAGCTTCCGGATGAGCGCCATGTGCTCAGATTGCTGCGGGTTTGGCTGTACAGTCCAAGGGATTTCTTGGTGTTTGCCCCAAGTCGAGCTCCTCACAAGCTGGTTCTCAGTGCCCCCCCCCCACCGAGAACATCCAGGTGGATGGAGATGAGGCCCCTCACTGAGCTCTGCGTAACCCTGACCCATTCTCAGGGAGACTGAGGTCGACCTGTCGTTTGTATTTGTAAAGTTTGCAGAAATGTAATTTTGGGCGCATTTGGACAGTCTTCAGCCTTCCTTTCTCCAGGGCTGGGTAAGGAGCCACATCCCCACCTCCTTCCTTCTAGTTGTCTGCGCAGACTCTGGGAACACCTCCTACCCCATATCAGGACAGATGTGGCTGTTTGTGATAGCTACACAAAACCAGGCGCTGTGTGTATAGATTGAAATGGAAATATGTAAAACTGTATAAAACTTCTTAATAAACTGAAGATTGGAGGAGGCTAAGGTTTATGTCTTCATTAGCTAGGAAGAAAGCTTTTCCCATGTTATCAGTGATGTTCGCCAGATCGGGGTTGGGAAGAACTAGTTCAGAGCACTTAGTATCCATTTGTGTAGAAATCATCCAGTGGGTTAGGTGGGAACGAGTCTTACGCAGGTGAGTCTGCTAGGACTCAGAAAACAGCTCCTTCCCTGGACTGGGACAGAGCAGCAAGCGAGGGAATACCCTCTCCAGTCCAGGGTTCAGCATGAGCTTGGGGCCTGTGCCATCGGGAGAAGCTGATCATCAGTGCCTGGCACTTCGAGAGCCCTCAGTAAACAGTGGCCATTAGTTTGCAGAGCCTTGGGGTATAGCCTGAGCAGTTCTGGCTGCGGCTTATAAAAGCGGTCGTCTGGTATTTGAGCTTACCAAAATCGGGTGATACTCAGCTGAGGGCAGTTTTGCCCGCCAGGGGGCATTAGCAGTGTCCAGGTGATTTTGGTCGCTCGGGCTGGGGGCAGGTGGGGTGGGGAGAGGGCAGGCATGTTGCTAAATATCCATGGTGCCGGACAGCCCCCGACGAACAAGGTTATCCAGCCGCTAGTGTCAGCAGCGTCATGGTGAGAACGTGATCTAGCCCTTTGCAGCTTCTAGAGTATTTTCTCCTCCCATCTCCTCATCACAGCACCCTTGTGAGGTAGACAGGGTGGGAGTTCTCCCCAGCTTGGTCTCTTGAGGTGAGGAAACAGAGACCTAGAAAGGCTCAGTGTTTTATCTAAGAGGATGCCGATTGGCGGTGACAAGGGAGGTAGGACCCTGACACCTAATACCGTGTGAGACCCGTGAGAGCAGCAGCCCGGCTCCATTCTGAGTGCTTCTAGATAGGAGCTTATGGGACCCTCGCCACACTCGTGTGAAGCAGCTGCCGGTCCCTGCGTACAGCTGTTGTAAAAGGCACGGACCGATGAAGGCCCAGACCTGCAGTCATCCCTGCCCTTGGGAGGCCGTCACTGAGGCGGGAAGGCAGAACTAGTAACCTGGAAACAGTGTGGGGGGGAAAGTCTGTATTTAATCCGGGCGCTGCTGGCCTTCACCGTCAGAAGTTACAAGGGGCGGGGGGAATAGAGCGTCGCGAGGAAGAAGCTGTCGTTTTAGTGCTGTGACCTCTACGGCAGGCAGTGGTGCACGGTTGTTCAGAACAGATCTGGTTTCTCAGTCCTGGTTTTGTCATTATTTTTGGTGGCTGATAGCCACAGAGTTAAATTCCCTAAAGCTCACTCAAGTTCACCTCTGACCTTGGGGGTGTTAATAGCACTTGCCTCATGGGATTTTTGTGAGGCTTGTATACGGGCAAAAGGCTCCACGCAAAGTGAGGAAGTCCTAGAGACCTGCGTTGTCTGTGAAGTTGGGGGCTTTGGTTTTGTTTTGGGGTTTTTGTTTTTGGCATGAGTACTTTGCAACTGCAGAGAAGTTTTGGGATTGACTCAGTTTCCCTTAATTCCATACTTGAGACGCTATTCCCACTGCTTTTTAATTTTCTGCCTATGACACTTTGTTGGGTAATACATCCCCTGTGTTTGTTTACTTCTCTCTTCTAAGTGGTACTAGTTACGTTTTCGGTTTCAAGGTTCAGGGCTTTGGATTTGAACGATGTCCATTAGTTAACAGTCATAGAAACTTTTTTACTGTAGTAAGAAACATACCATACAGTGTACTATCTTAATCTTTTTCCCATGTACGGTTCTGTAACGGTCATAGAATTCTAGAAGGAGGCGGGCCCACATCACCTCTAGGCCAGGAATGACAGGTGTGGGCTTGCCACTTCTCCCTCTCCCCGCCTCACCTGTGGCAGACGTGGCTATGAAGGACCCTCATCGTCGGCCAGCGAGTCCAGATTGTCAGACCAGTTTCCCTAAGCCTCAGAACCCTTGCAGTGAGTGACACGAGAGGGGAAGGGAGTCTCCGTCACTGTAGAACAAATTAGTGCTGTAGTGTGGGTTTCACACCCACGTCTCCTGACTCTTCGGGGGCTGGTGCCTTCACCCCACACCCTGTGCCCTTCCTGGCTGTTTTTGGAGATCCGTCACAACCTTGCCTGGGCTTTTCTCTCTGCAGCAGATGACAGGTTCTGACTTTTCGTGTGTGGTGTCCTACATGCATCCCTGCTGATGTGTTCACTTGGTCTCTGGGGTCTGCTGTATCTTTGCAGAAGGGCTGCAACTGGAGCTACAGGGAGTGCTCCAGGTGCAGTGAGCTCGAGGGCCAATTTGGTTTCTGGGAGCTTCTCCGAGAATGCGTACTTGATTAACACCCTCCGCTGCCTACTGGACTAAAGTCCTGGAAGTAGAGGGAAATGGCCCTTGTGACCTAGTTACGCCAGCAGCTTAGAACCCTCCTCCTGTAGGTATGAACCTGACTCTATGAGTGTATCATCTTCATCTTACATCCAAAGAAATCTTTGGATTTTTTAAAAGTGTTTATTTTAGAGAGAGAGCATGAGCAGGGAAGGGGCAGAGAGGGAGGGACAGGATCCGAAGCGAGCTCTGTGTTGACAGCAGAGAGCCTGGTGCGGGGCTTGAACTCACAAACCATGAGACTATGACCTGAGCTGAAGTCAGACGTTTTAACTGACTGAGCCACCCAGGCACCCCTTCTTTCAGTTTTTCTGCCCAGCCATTCATGTAGCTATGAAAGTGTCCTGTAATTTGACCTCACTGGATTCACGCAGCAGAGCGTACCAGCTCCTACGTGGGAGGTTTCCTTCTGCCAAATACACTTGCCATCAATTGTCTTTGTAACCTTGGGCAAATAACTTGCCTCTCTAGGACTTTGTCCCCTCATTTATAAGATGATAAGACTAAGTTGGCGAGCCTATCGCTAAAATCTTTTCTCAGTCTAAATAATCAGTGTATCCAATAAAATACGAACTTCTTGTGGCTTGTATTTCTGTTTATTATTTTTATACTTTCGATTAATAACTTTTTTATTTTTTATTTTGGAATAGTGTCACATTTATTTACTTTTTAAAAAATTTTCTTTGTTTAGTTTTGAGAGAGAGCAAGAGAGTGTGAGTGGGAGAGGAGCAGAGAGAGAGGGAGACACAGAATCCAAAGCAGGCTCCAGGCTCTGAGCTGTCAGCACAGAGCCCGACGTGGGGCTGGACTCAGGGACCGCGAGATCATGACCTGAGCTGAAGTCAGCCGCTTAACAGACTGAGTCAATCAGGAGCTCCTTAATTAACAACTTTATTGACCTATGATTTATACCAGAATATTTACTTATTCTAAGTGTGCTTCTTTTAAAAGAGTTCTAGAAATCATTTCATTAATTCAAACAGAATATCCTCTAGGTAGTCCTGAAGTTCACTTTTAACTAGAATCATTATTTTTGCCCAGTCTGTTTTGATTGCTAACCATAGCAATAAAAGCACAGCCCGAATAGAGGCTGATGGTCTCGTGTCATGGAAAAAGCACAGACTTTGGGGACTACCAGAGCTGAGCTCAGATCACAGCTCCGCGCCTAGCTCAGCTGGCTTAACCTTTGGTATGTGAGCTTCCAATCTAGGTTACTGACTTGGGCTTAAGGGAGCTAAGGGATAAATAACCCTGCCTTTCCTCAGCTCTAAGAAAGGTAATGAGATGGTAAATGGGAGAGGTGAGTGTCAGGGGCACGACTTCTATACTATTTAATATTCTCTTTTGACTCTTCTTCAGAATATTTTCTGACCAGATATTGAGGAGGACTGAGATTTTTTTTTAATTTTAACTTGTTTTACTTTTTATTTTTTAAAATTTACATCCAAATTAGTTAGCATCTAGTGCAACACTGATTTCAGGAGTAGATTCCTTAGTGCCCCTTACCCATTTAGCCCATCCCCCCTCCCACAATCCCTCCAGTAACCCTCAGTTTGTTCTCTATATTTAAGAGTCTCTTATGTTCTGTCTCCCTCCCTGTTTTTATATTATTTTTGCCTCCCTTCCCCTATGTTCATCTGTTTTGCATCTTAAAGTCCTCATAGGAGTGAAATCATATATTTGTCTTTCTCTTGTCTATTCGCTTAGCATGATACCCTCCAGTTCCATCCACGTAGTTGCAAATGGCAAGATTTCATTCTCTGATTGCCGAAGAGTAACACTCCGCTATATATGTGTTTACCACATCTTCTTTATCCGTTCATCCATCGATGGACGTTTGGGCTCTTTCCATACTTTGGCTATTGTTGATAGCGCTGCTATAAACATTGGGGTGCATGTGCCCCTTTGAAACCGCATACGTAGTAGTGCAATTGGTGGGTCATAGGGTAGTTCTATTTTTAGTTTTTTGACGAGTCTCCATACTGTTTTCCCAGAGTGGCTGCACCAGCTTGCGTTCCCAGAGATTTTTGTATTTTTTTTTTTATTTTGTTTTTAATGTTTACTTATTTTTGAGAGAGAAAGAGAGAAAGACAGAGCACGAGCAGAGAGAGGGAGACACAGAATCCAAAGCAGGCTCCAGGCTCTGAGCTGTCAGCGCAGAGCCTGATGT